CCCCCCCCCCCCCCTTCAACAGAATTTTTTCCCTTTTTTGGGGGGGGGAGGGAGTGTTTGGTATTTTTGTTTCAACCATCTGGCAACCCTATCACAACCTGCCCCTGGTTGGTTGGGCTCAGGGAGTGGGGAGTTACATTATAACAGTAACTGTAAGAAAAGTGCAGGGATGGGAGGTTCAGGGTAGAGGCTTGGAATGTGGGGGTGCAGGAGTCAGAGGTTGGGGCGGTATGTGAGGGGCTCAGGGCAGGGAGTTGGAGTGTGTGTGGGGGGGAGGGAGAAAGAAATTAATTTATTTGGCCAGGACCAGGCCACTGCAGCCAATTTCACCTTCCCTCCAACTCCCACCACACAGGAACAGGGCCAGAGCCAGGCTGCCACAGCCAAATAGGACTGGTGCCTGTTCTTCCTGCAGCAGATGAGGAAGCAGACCACAGGGTCCTACCCCATGGCCAGGGGCAGAGCCCTGCCACTGCAACCTTGGCTGGACAGGGGCTGATTCTGGGCTCCAGCCATCCCAGCAAAAGCAAAGCCAGAGCACAGGTCCTGCCCCAGGATCGGTGCCAGGCCAGGCTGCTGCCGCTGCAGCCCAGCAGAACAGGGGCCAATTCCACACCCCCAACAGCAGGAGCAAGGCCAGCACCAGATGGAGACTGCTGCCAGCCCCTCCAGTAGCCCATCTGGGAGTGCATGTGCCTCCCCTACAGTGCGCTCCCAGCCAACCCCTTTAAATCACTTGCCACTCTCCTGCAGAGCAGTGCGCTCCAGTTGGCTTTTGCCAGAGCACAGCCTGCTCTTGCTGGAGTAGCACACTGGGGCACACCTGCTTACTTTCACCTCTGGACACAGAGAGCATACAGAAGTCAGCCGAGGGAGCAGCCAATTTGCTGCTATTGCGCTGCCAGGTGAGGAAGCAGAATAGATGCAGCCACAGTGACAAAGGGTTCTATGGGATACACACCCAGGGCCTCACAGCAAGGAGCACAGAATATTTTGGAGCCCTTTGGCTGATGGCATTCAGCTTTTGGGGGGTCACAGGATCAAGCTATAGGAATGTGGGTCTTTCAAAGGAATGTTATTGAAACAATGTGTCAGAGCCAACTGTAAAAGGGTCTACCAGAAAATATAGTTTTTCTTTTCTGCTCAGCACAGCAGGTCTATTGACCAGCACCCAGCCTCAGAATTCCTTGCACTGGAAGGTTACTGAGTTTAGGGATGGCAGATGATCTCAGTGTCACTGGACATGCCCATACTTTGCTCTGCAGTATCTGTTCCTCAACAGAGATTCTAGGAATTTAGGACTAAGCTACAGCCAGTCTACCGCTGTCAAGAGAATGATCAGTAATTATATATTTAAGAAACTTTCCTGATGATGAGCCCAGGCAATCTTAATGAAGTCAGGGGTATGTGTGACAGAATGTGTCAACAAAACATATATAGGGGGGAACCCTCTTCTTCAAGTACACCTCTAGCTATCTCAAAGGGCTGTTGCACTGTATTACAACAATAGGGCACTGAACTACAATAGTCAGACAAATTCCTGCTCAACCAGCCTGCCATCTCAAGTTACAATGAAACATACAAAAAACAGGACTATGTAGCACTTTAAAGACTAATAGTCCTATTTTTTGTTTCAGCTACACCATACTAACACAGCTACATTTCTATCGCTATTCTACAGTGAAACATACCTTACCATGGGGTGTAGCTAGGTATCAACCCAGATAGTAAAGAGTCTTTGTAAAACACTGAGGATGTCGAAATGCTGTTTCAGTGCTAGGGGTTAGTCAGAATTTCTAACAAGCATTGATTATGGGGATAGGAAAAGCTTCAGAGGGGTAGGCAAGCTAGTCTGTAATTGGAAAAACTTTTAAACCAAGGAATAGTTTAGCACCACTTAAAAAACTAACACCACATGTAGATGATATCATGCGCTTTCCTGGTTGTACCCATGAAAGCTCATCTCATCAGCTACGTATTTTGTTAGTCTTTAAAGTGCTGCTAGACTATTTCTTGGTTTTAAAGTTTTTGGAGATAAGAGTTAGCTGCTGCTTTAGCCAGGGTTTGGACGCTGCCTGCTTGCTGTCCAATACAGAGTTGGGAATATTTGGAAGTCAGCAATCAAGAGCCTCTACTTTGCTATTAATACTGTTAGCCCTGCCTGGTGTGAAGGTGTAACCCACAGCACCACCGGCCAGCTGGAGGTTTTACAGTCTGCCCAGCAAAGCGTGTACCAGCAGCGCAGCCAGTGTCTGTGGATGGGCCACTCTGTTCTTCCCTTCGGGATGGGTAGGGGTTCGCCAGCTGGATGCCAGCAGGGCGGCGTTGGAAGGCAAGTGGGGAAGGAAAGGATCGGCTTTGTGCTCAGAACAAAGGCTGCCCGCCGGCTCCGAGCGGCGCACACGCACCGGGGGAGGGACGCCAGACTTACGATTTTGGGGTCCGCGTAGGTGCCGAGTCCTATCACGGGGATGCTGTGCCCATCGCTCAGAGGGATGCGGTGGTTCGCCGCCGTTAGGTTCATGCTGCAGGTCACCCAGCGCTTGCCTGCAACTTGCGAGCCGACCGAGGGAAAGCAGCCAGAGCCCACTGCTGTCCCACCGCTGCAGGCTGTCTCGCTGGGGGGGGAGGGACCTTCTCTTTCTGCGCCTGCCCCAGGCCCGCGAAAAGCGTGTGGTGTGGCCAGCACGGGGAGGGGGGGGGGGCGTTTCCCGCTTCGTCCCTGACAGGACGCGCTGGAGTTACCCTGCCTGTCTCCTGAAAGCAAATTTGCAGTAGGGTGAAAGATTAACCGCCAGCTCCCCTTAGGCGGGGGGGAGCAACTCAGCGCGTTATTTATTGCGAGACCTTCCCAGCGAATGCTCTGCAGCCCCGCGCGGGCTCGTTCTTCCCCAGGTGGCTTTAAGTAGCTGCTAAAGGGCCAGCACGTGCTGGGAGTTTAAGAGGCGAGCGAAAGCCCGCGGGCGGGGGGCGTGTGGGTCTGTGCTGGCAACGCAACGCAACGGGCTTTCACCGCAAACAAATCATTCGTACCGGGCTCAGCGCGGGGAGCGGGGATAAGGGAGTTGGGAAGCCGGCGCTGTTCCTGGCAAAGGAGCCGCCTCCCCGGCCACACCTCACCTCGTGTGCCAAAGCGGTTAGGGCAGGCGCTCCACTTTCCTGTATTCCCCTGGAGGGTCGCATGGGCAACAAGAAGGATGAAAGGGCTGGAGGACATGAGCTAGGGAGGAAGACTGAAAGAACTGGGCTTGTTTAGTTTGGAAAGCAGAAGCCTGAGAGGGGAAATGAGAGTAGATTTCAAGTATCTAAAAGGGTGTCACAAGAAAGAGGGGGGGGATTGTTCTCCACCTCTGAGGACAGGACAGGAAGCAATGGGCTTAAAATTGCAACAAGGGAGGTTTAGGTTGGACATTAAGAAAAACTTCAGGGTGGTTAAACACTGGAATAAGTTGCCTAGGGAGGTTGTGGAAGCTCCATCACTGGAGATATTCAAGAGCAGGTTAGACAGACATCTATCAGGGATGTGGGGGTGCTTGGTCCTGCAATGAGGGCAGGGGACTGGACTTGCTCTCTCAGAGATCCCTTCTGGTTCTAGTGATAGAAATGTAGCGGTGTTAGTCTGGTGTAGCTGAAGCAAAATACGGGACTATATAAACCATCTTGTTAAAGTGCTACATAGTCCTGTATTTTGCTTCTGGTTCTAGAATTTTATGATTCATCTGTTCTCTGCTGCCCTGATTCAGTCATATATTCCCACTCAAAGCACTTTGTCCCACATTAATCTCACTCTCATTGGCCTCAGATTATGTCAGCCCTTTCAGGACTATGGCTCATTGTTCTGTGGAAGACTTGTTTAGAGCCCTCGTTCACTTTCATATCAATCCATTCCTTTGTTTTCAGGAGAGGAACTCCAGTACCCATTCTCCATTGGCACTATTTGCCTCTGCTACAGGTAGACTTCGCTAATTCATTCTCTTGCTTGCCCAAAGGCATAGGTTATCTTTTTTTGGGGGGAGGGGGGAGAGGGAGGGATGTATTTCAGTCTTTACGTCATTCTTCCAGTAATGAAAGGTCAACTCCAACCCATGTGAAAGACTCAAGGAGCAATATTCAGTTTAGCATTTCAATCAATAGCACCAACTGTTCACTGCTTTTAAGTAGTAGAGATTATCCCATTATGCCAGTTGCTAGTATGAAGCCTCAGTTATTCTTCTGTCTGTGCTAAATCTAAACAGTCACATTGAATTTCCTTTTGAGTCTTACTTGCTTTTAAGGCTATTCAGAATCTCTACATGTAGGGTATACTCTACATTACAGAGTTTGGTCAGAAAAACAGCCATTTTTCTGACAAAACTCACAAAATGTCCACACTGCAAGCATGTTCTTTTGACAGTAAATCGAAAGAGCAGAGGAGTTTTTGTGCAATAGGTAGGTAAACCTTTTACCTTGGAGGTCGACAAATGTCTTTGATGTCGACCGTGGAGCGTCCAGACTACGGTGCTGAGCCGACAAACAGCTGATTGGCTCAGCGCGGCAGCCATTTAAATTTAAATGAAGTGGTGATTATTTAAATTGCTGCTTCATTTTCCTATGCCGGGTAGCCTTATCTACATGCCTCTGTTGTCAGAGGCATGTAGTCTAGACATACCCCAAGAAAAGGGCTCCAGGAAAAAACATAGGTGCCCTGGTGGCCACTCCATACCAGCTAATCACAACTCTATAGTTCCTGTCTCCTGGCCTCTCTTAAAGCTGCAGGCACCCTGGACAAGCCTTGTGACCGGAAGTCGGACAGAGAGCAGCAACCTGACCACGTGGCTCTTCCTGCCACAGGCATTGCCAGCCATGTCTGCCCCTGAAGCACCCTGCAACCTTCCTGGCCCTCTCAAGGAACAGCCCCAGGGGTCTGAGGATGTGTCCAGGAAGAGCAAGTGGCATGCCCCATCCAGGACAGGCTTGGATATTCAGTCCCTCCTGGAGCTGTGGGGTGAGGAGGAGACACTCCAAGATCCTCTGGCCAAGTGGCACGATGCCAAGATTTATGGCCACCCTCTACAACCCTCAACTCCTTTTATGAAACACTGCCTCCCCCGCATGCAGGGACTGCAGCCCCAGAGTGCCTTATTTCCATGAGGAGGGCCCCAATGACTTCCCCACACCAAACTGGTTGCCCACCGACCAGTAGCTTTCTGGGGTAGCGAGCTTCCATATGGTGATGGCGATCTGCTTCTCCAGGGGGGTGATAGGCCACAGGTGGGTGTCGCGTCTTTGGAAGGTGGGAGTGAGCCAAGCACACAGCTCCAAAATGTGTGGAAGTTTTGGAGCCACTGCTGGTTGTCCCACTGCTCCATGACCAGCTGGTCCCACGAGTCAGAACTGATGTTGAGATTCCAAAAACGCGTCTCCATTGTGGGATGCAGTTGCCAGAGTGGAGCAGCCACAGCCACGGAGATGGTTCCCAGAATGAGCTCCGGGTTCAGGTCCTGCAAGACCAGGAAGGCAGCAGACACAAAGTACTGCAAAAATTGCAGCATGGCCATGTGAGGCCATTGCATGCCCAGGGGCAGTTCTGGCTCCAAGGCACACAAAGGAAAAAAGCATCCAAAAAGAGTATTTGCGCAAGATCATGCCAATGTAGACACAGCCCAAGTGAAAAAGTGTTAGGGGTTCATTTAGTTGATACTTAAATATAAAAGAGCCAGGGGACTGGGGCCAATAAGGAAATAAGGTTCAGTCTTTCTTCTCAGCATAGAAATGTGTCACACCCTCTTTACCAGACAAGGTAAAGAATTTTTTTAAAGTGGATGCCTAAAAGTAAATTTTTAAATATATGGCTGGTGTGTAAAGGACCTGATTTTCAGAAGAAGGATCACCGAAAGCTGCAGAGTATTTTAGGAAAGAGGAAGACAAATAGGCCATTTATTTAGGTGGCTAAACACAGATCTGAAAAATTACCTTTAAGCACTCTAGGTCAGGCATGTCAAACTTGAGGCCTACTGAGGACCACACACATGAAAACTGATAGCTTTCAGGGCCACCAAAGAAAATGTACTTCTATTGAAAAGTGTAGGGGAGCTTGGACTACCCTACCTTGGCAATAACTGGTGATGTCTGCTTGTCCAAAATGTGGATTTCTGGCCCGTTTCAAGTCTGGTGTGACAAAACACGCAGGCAGGGCCTGGGAGTCAGGAACTGCTTTGCATAACAATGCCGATTAAGCATGATAGGTGAGACCACATAGGACAAGCAGCCTTGTTCTGCTAGTTTTGTTTCTGATAAGCAAAAAGTAAAGATGAGTCATAAAACTGTTAACTGCGCACTTAGCAGCAACATCCTGAGTAACAGGATGTACCCCAAATAGGTGCATTGGGCATTTTAGGTATCCTACACAATAAGTAATCAGTTGGTAAATATTATTAGAATGACCAAGTCTCTCTTTGCTATTAATTGGGGTTAGTAAGAACAATTGATAGGAGGGAATGGGGAGGATTGACCCACACGTCCTGCTCAATGTAACTAGAAGTGATTAGGCCCTTCAAACTTGCTATGTCAGTGGAGGTGTTCCTATGTGTGGTATGACAGACTGCTGGCTGAGCCAGAGTTCTGCCACTGTAGCCTGGTTGAAAAGGCTGATTGTAGAGCAAGCCCAGGCCTGACAGGCTAATGGAAGCAGCTGTGGGCCTCATTAGCCAGCCAGCTAGATAAGGCAGAGGAAATGAGCTAGGACAGGAGCCAGGCTGTGTCTACACTGGTGTGATCTTGTGCAAAAGTGGCTGCTCTTATGCAAAAACTTGCTGCCTGTCGATGCTGGCTGTGTGTTCTTGCACAAGTAAACTGAAGTTCTAATGTATAAAATCAGGGCTTTTTGTACCAGAACTCTGACGCTCCCGCTCAGGAATAAGCCCTCTTGCGCAAGAGCTCTTCCAGAAAAGCCCAGTGTAGACAGGTAACATGAATTTCTTGCGCAAGAAAGCCCTATGGTTAAAATGGCCATCAGAGCTTTCTTGCGCTAGAGAGCATCTACACTGGCATGGATGCTTTTGCGCAAAAGCACATGCCAGTGTAGACGCTCTCTTCTGGAAAAGTTTTTGCAGAAGAACTGTTCCGCAAAAGAGTTTTTGTGTGAGAACGCGCCAGTGTCTTCATGGATGAAGAATAAGGCAGCCAACACAGATGCCATATTTAAATTCCAGGGGGGGAGAAAAAAAAGAATCAGCATGTACCTGGTTTACACTGTTTCTTTAAAGAAAATTCAAAGGCTATCATTTGCCAGGCTGAAGCAGTTAGACTTCTTTATTGGTTTTTGTCCAAAATGTCCTGTAATGTTATTTTTATCATTACATTTTGTGTACTATATCTATTGATCAATTGATATATAAAAATAAATATATAATACCTGGCTTTTTGCATTCTATCCACTGCTATTTTGGCTCTTTGTCTTTAACTGGTTGGCCACTCTTGTTCTACCCGGTAGCTCAGGTGCCTCTGGAAGTGAGGGGCAGATTCCAGTGGAAGTGGGTGGAGGTAGTGGACTAGCTATCATACCTTGTGGCTGTGTCTAGACTGGCCACTTTTTCTGGAAAAGCAAGCGCTTTTCTGGAAAAACTTGCCAGCTGTCTACACTGGCCACTTGAATTTCCGCAAAAGCACTGACGATCTCATGTAAGATTG